GGGCGCGGCGGCGGCGGCGCTGGCATGCGTGGACGCGGCGGTCGCGGCGGCAGGGGCGGACGCGGTCGCGGCGGACGTGGCCGTGGCGGTGACAGGGCGGGCGGCGACCGCGACGTCGAGAACGACAGCAAGATGAACCAGCGGTCGCTGGACCGGTACTTTGTGCCGGCGACGGCCGAGGAGCAGGCGTACGCCGACGGCCTGCAGTTTGGCGAGGCCTCGAGCTTCCGCCCCGACGCCGTGACGCTCGATTCGCTGACGGGCTGGGGCCCTGCCGTCGCCGGCGACGGCGAGCGCGCCAAGGTCGAGTCGGTCATGCAGAACCTGCGCATCCTGGGCGGCGCGCAGCCCTTCGAGCCGCGCCACCTCGGCGTGCCCGAGTGGACCGCCAAGAAGCTCGCCAAGACGGACAGCAGCATGCACTTTTTCGACACCAAGGAGGAGAGGGCGCACTTTGTCGCGCGCCAGCCCGACTTCAAGATTGAGGGCGCCGAGGAGGCCGTGCGCAAGGTCGTCCTGGCGCGCGCCGTCAAGGGCGAGCACGAGAAGCCGCAGTACAGCGCGGGCAAGAAGCCGGTCGACTTGGCGAGAAACGCGCATCTCAAGGAGCCGACGTACAGGGAGAAGGACGTTGAGACCTTTGAGACCAAGGTGAAGCAGCTCATTGCTTCGAAGAAGGGCAGCGCCGGACAGCAGGGCAAAGAGGCGCAGGCTTAGGGCGGGGGAGAAGCCGGGGGGAAAAGTCCATGTATAACAATCTGAGGCAGGGGTCCTCACTGTACTGTCTGTTATAGATCACACACACACACACACACACACGCACGCATTGTACATCAGAACTGGGGTTCTTCTTTGCATTTTTCTTCGATCTGCAAAAGTGACATGGCTGAATGTCGCCTGGCCATCTGCGACTCTTCTTGTCTCCCGTGTCGCCAGCATACATGTGACGTCTTATCCTACATGCCGCGCCCAAATTGGTGACGACGCCGCCCTACTTGAACCTCTGCAGCGTCTGCTTCTCGACCTGGTCGATGCCGTCCATGACCTTGTTCTGCTGCTTCTGGGCCTCAGCATCGACCCTCTTGCGCAGGTCGGGCCCAATCTCCTTCTGCATGGCCCACTTGGCGACGACCTTCTTCCTGCGGTCGCTCGCATGGCGCACCCTCTCGCGCCAGGCGAGGGTCAGCGCCTTGGCCTTGACGACGAGATCCTCCTTGCGCTCGGGCTCGACCTTGAGCAGCAGCTCGAGGTCGTTGTCCGGGCTCGGCTGGGGCTGCTGGTTAAAGTCGGGGCTCGCCTGGACGGCGTCGGAGATGGGCTTGAGGTGGGCCCTGTCGTGGGCGAGCAGGGCGACGGTGCGGCCGCCCTTGGGGACGACCTGGGCGAGCTCGCGCAGCGGGAAGCGCTCGGGGGACTTGGGGTCGGGGGCCACGGGCAGGGCGCCGATCGAGTCGGGGTTGAAGCGGCCGCCCGTGGCGAGGCGGCGGAGGGCGTCGCGGAAGTGCGTGTCGAGGGCCGCCCAGCGGGATGTGAGGTCGTCCGTGTTGAGGGGGTCGGCGGCGTCGGGTTTGGGGTGCCGCGCGGCGTCGGCGTCGTCGTCGTGGTCGGAGGTCGACGTCGAGGCCGAGTGGCGGGAGGACGAGGATGACGATGGTGATGAGGAGGGGTTGTTCTCTTGCTGCTCGACCATCTTCTTGGCTTTGGACTTCTTGAGGGCCGCGGGCGTCGTGTGGAAGCTGCGGGACGGGGAGGAGGCTGCTCTCGGGAGCACCACCACGAGAGCGGCGGACATGGGAGCTACATTCTGGCTGGGAGACAGTGTCAGACAGGGTTCGTGCTGGGTGCCTCCATGTTTGACGTACCTTGCTGCAGCTCTGATGATAGCATTGGCGCGTGGGAGGGCCAGCCTGTGGGCGCGGAAGCTGTTCATCTTGACGATGGATAGGGATCGTGTGATGTGATGGCGGAGGTGTGGTTGGTTGCGTCAGGTTCAGTCAGCTCCCCACCTCTTCGACAGATACCTTAGGGTACCTTACCAAGGGTACCTAGGCTAGGTACCTACCTACCTGACCCTGACCCGGTTACGCCGCCGGTAGCAAGGCTGCTGTCGCGGTGGGGTCACTTCACGGCAGTTCAGCCTGACAGTGCCCTGACCTGCGCGAGTGTGGAGCGCCAGTACTTCACAGCTGGCTATTTGTCCGTGATCATCCGTGAGCTGCATCATGGAGACGACATTTGGCCATGTTGCCCAACTGATACGGGCATGGCCTTCTCGTGTCTGGCTGTGCAACAGTCTGCCTCGTATGGATGGGTGCTCGAAATGAACAACAACACGATGACTCTGGCGTCTGCCCAAGAGACTGCACCATCATGAAGGACGTCTCCAGAGTCATGCCACGGCCTCCATCACAGCTGTCACTTCACCATCATCACGACGTACGACAGCATCACGTCACGTCACAATTGCCCATGCAATATGCCAACACGCAAGAGCTCTATTAATTATTACTGTGCGAATGCGTCCGGCATGGTGCCCACCCTAGTGGCAGACACGCATGACCTTCAGCAACCCGAAAAGCCTTCCCATCCCCTCCAACGGTGTCCACCCTACTGTGCTCTCAAACGTCTGAAGTCCGACCGAGTCTTCCCAACCGGTCCCATAGTTTCAAAACCAAGCAGCCGACCACCTGCGACGAAGAATGAGAGTTCCTTCGTTTTTTGAGATATTTTTTGGAGTTTTCTTCGTGTTCATGATTGTCTCGAAACGACGGGTATACGGGGTATCAAAGCACAAAGGCAGGTGTCGATACGGGAAAAACAGGACAACGAAATAAGCCAGATCTGGCGTGACAGTGCTGAACAGGTCAGAGTCGGGACGAGGCTTGCGCCGGCGGTACCCTAACGTCTGCCCGTCTGCTGATGCGAATATGCATAAAAACAAAAGTAGGAAAGGGTATCAGAGAACCAATTTTTGACGGGGTATCTTGGAAATGCAGATCCGATTCCCGACCAAAACCGTTGGCGTGATGTGTTGCGTCGTTGCTCTTGCGATGTCGAACTGGTGCGTGGAAAACAAACTGGCGGCCACCATCAGACGTGCGACCTCCGGAGCGGCATGCTGAAGCGAGCGCTCTAAGCGGCGGCAGTCACGGCAGGGGTGGCGCCGGTGACGGGCTCAGGCTTGTTGACGGGCTCCTCAGGGAGCTTGGGAGCCTCAGAGCCCGAGGCGGGGGCCTCGGTGGCGGGAGCCTCAGTAGCCGACTCCGTCTTCTCCTCGGCCGTCTTGTCGAGGGGCTTCTTCTCGCCGACGGGGGACTTGCCGCGGCCCTTGATCGTGGCACGAAGCTTGGAGAAGGGACCAGTCTTCTCGGGCTTGTCACCCTCCTCGTCAGAGGTGGCGGGGGACTTCTCCTTCTTGCCAAAGGCGAAGGGCAGGGAAGACTTGCGCTTCTCGGCCTTGGCCTCCTTCTTGGGCTCGGCAACGGCGGCGGCGGGAGCGGCCTCAGTGGTCTCGGTGGGGACCGTGGCGGGGCTGGCAACCTCGACGGCCAGGGGAGTGGTGGTCTCAACCTGGGGAATGACGGGGGCGTCCTGGGCGACAGGGGCGACCTCGGCCTCCTTGGCGGGAGCGGCAGGAGTCTCAGTCTCGGCGGCCTTCTTCTCCTTCTTGCCGAAGACGCTGCCGAAGATGCTGTTGCGCTTGGTCAGGGGAGCAGGCTTCTCCTCAGTAGGAGACTCGGCGGCGGCAGCAGGGGCAACAGCGGCCTCGGTAGCAGGGGCAGCCTCAGCAGCGACAGGGGCAGCAGGCTCAGTGGTGGTCTCGGCGGCGACAGCGGGGGTCTCAGTGGCTGGGGCCTCAGCGGTGGCCTCGACGGGCTTCTCAGTCTTCTCCTCCTTCTTGCCGCCGAGGAGGTTGCCGAAGATGCTGCCACGCTTGCGGCTGGCAGAGCGGCGCTCCTTCTTCTCCTCCTTGACGGGCTCCTCAGCAGCGGCGGCCTCGGTGGTAGCAGGGGCAGCGACGGGCTCAACAACAGTGGGAGTCTCGGTGGCGGGAGCGGCGACCTCAGCGGGCTTGTCCTCCTCCTTCTTAGCGGCAGGGGCGGGAACGCTGGGCTTGAAGGTCTCGAGGGTAGCCTTGTAGGTCTCGGTCTCAGGGACAGTGGTGGCGAGCTCCTTGGCCTCGGCAATCTTGACCTTCAGCTGCTCGACCCAGTTGTCACGCTCGGCAGTGCTGGAGGCCTTGAAGGCGTGCTTGTGACCCTTGGCGGTGAAGAAGAACTTGTTGGGACCGTCGGTAACGGGCTCAGTGGCCTCAGACTGTATTTGAGTTAGGCCCAGTTGGAAGAAATAAACAGCCAGTACGGTGACTTACCAGGTTGATGACGCCGACAGGGCTGGCCTTCTCGCCGAAGAAAAGGAGGCCCTTGCCGGTCTGGGAGGCCCAGGCAGTGGTGTTGCGGCCAGCCTCAACATTCTTCTCGCTGCGGCGGTAGTGGGAGAGAGTAGAAGGCTCAACGGCATCGGTGCCAAACCAGAAGAACTGCTTGGAGTAGATGAAGTTCCTGCCATGGTTAGCATCCGTGGTCGATCTTATTTAAAAGGATGTACATACTTGGGGAAGTTCAGGCCCTTGTGCTCAAGCTGACCCTCCTCGACGGGAACGACCTCCTCCTTGGTCTCCTCGGCAGCGGCAGCAGCCTCAGGGGCGGCCTCGGTGGTGGTGGCGGCCTCAGTGGTGGCGGCGGCAGCAGGGGCGGCCTCGGTAGCCTCGACAGGCTTGGCCTCGACGGGAGCCTCAGCAACGGGGGCCTCAACGGCAGGCGCAACAACGGGAGTGGTGGTGTCCTCCTTGGGGGCCTCGACGGCGACGGGCTTCTGTTCCTCGGCCATTGTGCTGGGTTGTTGTGGTGAAAAGGGGTATCGTGTGAGAAGGCGGATCGTGGGGTTGGGTATCTAAGAGTTTGAGTCGAGACTCGGGTATCACAATGAAATAGACGTCTCGGGGTGGAAGGAAAGCAGTAAAAAGAATTACTGATGAACCAGGCTGTGGGAAGAAGGGGAGGAGAAGGGAACGAAAAAAGCAGACAACGGAAGGCAGCGGATACTTATTTGCCGTGCCCTGCCCTATGAATGCTCGGCCCAGGGTGGGAGAGAAGAGGGCGTCCAGTCGTTGCACGGGCGGGTTGAGGATGGTGAACGCAGGGGGCTTCTGGTGGTCTCTGCCACTGATACGGCTATGGGCAAATGGGTTCGATGGGGGGGCGTGGCCGGATTCGGGCTCGGGCTTGCTCAACAACGGTGGTGGTCTGAGGAGGAAAAAGTCACGGTGACTTCTGGTACTGGTACGGCGTGAAAGGGACCCTGACTGAGAGCGGCTGTGGTCCAGGTGTGTAACTTCCCTGGCTTTCCCTTGACCGTGACCATGCTCTGGCGATACATGACTGGGAGTTGAATGCAGGTGGGGCCGCCGCGACGGAGCATTGGCAGGAGCTTCCCTGGCGGCCCCTCCTCACCCCCCAAACCATGGATCCTGGCCCCAGCTACCCCTGTCTTTCCCTTGTCTTCCCTGTCGTTGCTGGGTTGGGCTTTGAGCTCGGTGGCCTGTGCTGCCATAAGCGAGTGGGTCGCAAATTGCGAGACCCGTCCGGCGCGACGCAGGACGGGCAGGGATACGAGCATTTCCACAGGCCGTCGCTTCCCAATCTCTGAACCTCTTTGATGACCGTGTACCTAAAGTCTTTTCTTCGTAGTCAACAACGTGTTTCAGCAGACGGGTTCATTAGCCTGACTATCGGTCTTTCCTGCCTCGTTCAGGCACGCACACGCCCGCACTGTGATTATTTCCCTCCACCTGAGTATTGTATCAGGGCAAAGAGACAAGATCAGATTGACACCGACTCCAGGCCGCGTTAGGGGTGCGCTGCGACAGAGAGGGATGGAGAATGGGTCGGAAAAGGGGGAGTGGACGTGACCGAGAGAGTCTTCATCAGCCGTTGGCTGCCCCCTTCCTCGCGAAACAGAACTACTACATGTACCTATCTCTGCGTAGATTGGCAAGTGCATCCTCAGGTACCGGTTCGTTGTGGCGGAATGCAGAGGTTGTGTACTGAATACCCTTTTCGGTCAATCTCTCCAGGTACTTAGGTCTCGCCATGTGTTGTCCCTCTCTGCCTACCTGCCTACCGCTGCTCTTGTCTTAAACAGGTAGTGAACTTCAGAACCTCATGCCACACACACCATCCGTCGCCGATATGGTGTGTCGTCCATCCGTATCGTATGCCGCCCGGCCGCCTCGCGTGATGTCTGCGGCAAGCGACGTCACCCTGCTTTAATGACATGAAGTGCGTTGTGAACGGGCTCCATTCTTGTGCATTAACCACTGCCATGGCCTTACCTGTGACCTCAGGCTGGCCCGGCGGAAAGACGCTACAGCGGCAATGCTCAGGCAGCCCGAGCCTTGCCAGGCCACATGCTGATGCAGGGCCTCCACCACCCACAGCCGAACAAAGCTTGGCTGCACAAATCGACGAGCACTAAAATCGCTTCTGTGGGAGGCGGCAAAGGGGCGGAGGGGACCCGCTGATGCGAGCGAAACGTGCACTGTATAAACGCACCGTACAGCAGGTTAGCGAGCCTCTGCCGGCGACGTGACCTCAGGTGAAGTACCGGCATGTCATGTCAAACACGCGAATCAACGAAGCTTTGGCAAGACCTCAAGCCAAGAGCAGCACAACTCTGTCGATTGTCCAGGTCTCCTCCGTCTAACATTGGTGTTCAGTATTCAGCCGAGGAAAACTTGAACGAGCCCGTCTCGAGGCTGGAGAATATCTCCGAGCAATCGAGAGCGAGCGCTGTCGGCCACGACCGTGCCATCATCTCACCAACCTGTTGCCAGAGAGGACCTCCTTCCCTCCCTCCCGTTGGTCGGTTCCTGCGGTGACCTGCTGTCTACGAGTTGATAGGGTGAAGGGCGGAATTTGTCGAACCGCTAGGGGGCTAGTCGCATTCTCTCCATCGCCATGTGACCCAAAGTGTGGGCGAGCTTTTGGTGAACATGCTAGTTCTACTGTTCCATCCACCCACCCTGACCAGACCGCCCCCCCGAGACAACGAAACAAGAGCCGTGCTGCAGTCCAGGTTGGGGAATATCAACCGGCCGCGAGTCCTTTGTGCCGAGCCCTATCAATCTCTGGGTTGCCGATCACCTGCGCGGCTTGTCTGTACCCGGAATAGCACGGAGGGGAGGGGGTTCTCTCCGATACCGTAGGCATTTGTCCGTACCTTGGGTGCTTCTGTGCTTGTGTATCACGATCAACGCTGATGTGCGCCGGAGGTGTTCATGGACTGACCTACCACGTCCGCTCACCAAGACGGGTGGCCGAACGTTGAACGGGCAATGTCAGCTCCCAGCGCTACCGGCCCACCCTCTGCACAGTAGGTACAGCATCGAAACCGAGATTCGCTAGCGCACGAAACCTTGACAGCCTGGGCACAAATGCGAAATGCTGCTGGCCCTTGCTGGTCGACTGGGGCCCTCGCTGACGAAAAAGCAATCAATCGAGATCCACTCGTCTGGCATTTGCAATCCATGCCTGGCGCCCCATCATCCTGGCCTCCACCCACCCTAGCTGCCGCTCAGGGTCTGACCCTTGAACACGCGAGGTCCCCCCCCCCCTTCTAGGGCGCGTGTGAGGGCCGTAAGGACAAGACGGGGATCACGGAGATTCTCAGGAGCAAACCGATATTTCGCAGATCATATTTGCATCTCGGTCTCCCAGAAGACCAAGCCCCCCTCGCCGTTTGACAGAGACGTCCCCAGCGAGATGAAGGGCCGTTTTCCGAATATAACTGACGTTGGCCCTTGTCGCAGCCGCCACTTCTAGACCCTCCCAACCTGTGACACACCAAGAAAGAGAGTGGGAAATGTCCCATCTCAAACAATGTCTCCTAGCTTGCCACTAATTATAAGGACCTGGACGGTAAGGTGAAATTATTACGGACCCTTCCGAGCTAACGACCTGCAGAGATGCGCGATGGGCGCCAGGACAGGGCCGAGCCAAGCACTCAATTTCGACAGCTGGATCGTCCAAGTTCCCACCGTGCCCGACTATTGGACCTTCGTCGCCCTCCCGAGAGCCGCTCTGCCGCTCCATCGTGAAGCCGAGATTTCAGAGTCATCGGCGACAGCCAGGGATCAGGATTGATTTTTTTTTTCCTTCAGCTCTGTGTCTTGTGTCTGTCCTGCTTGCTGCACAGCAACCATCGCCACCACATCGACCACCTCCACCTGCGGGTCAATGGAGTAGGTCGACTCGATCGTATTTCTGGTCAAAGTGGTTGGTTCCTGCTTTGTCGTGATGCTGGTTCAGCCTAGGCTTCCTGCCTGCCGATGTGGCACCAAAGTCAATACAAATGGCGCGTGACGCGCATCCCATCCCACCTCGGGGTGCCTTTGGAGGGGTAAATTTTCGTCGCAGCATAAAGCGCATGAAGCAGCCGTCGATCTTGAAAAAAGTCAACTCGAGCGCCCATTCTGGGCTATGGGCTCCAGCCAGCACACAGGGTATGGGAGGGAATGCCCCAGCCGCATGTAATCATCGACAGTCATCGACCTCCTCGAGTCAGTGACACCGACACGCATCGACAATGCTGTGCTGGGATCTCTATGGCGCGCGATCTGCTGCATTCTGGATGTGGCGGCTGGCCGAGCTGGCCCCAGGGTGCACGTTGGGCTGCCGCTGTGTTTTTTCCCACTGAGGTCGTGATGCTTTGCTTGCTACCCACCAACTGGCTACAAGGAAGCGCCCAGGAAGGCGTGTGCCAGACGCCAACACACGGTTCCGCTGTTGCCCTTCGCCACACAACGAAGCATCTCACCATAATGCGCTTGCCGCCTGGACGTCCCAAACTGGAGGGCCCGGGTTGCGCGTGCGCCGCCCGATGCCTGTTCTGCCTTGCCCTTTCCTGGCGCCTCCAGATATGGATTTACTCCCTCACCCCTCCTCCTTCCCTGTTTCTTGGGGGCTGCGGGCGGTGAAGGCGCCTTTGGGGGAAGCAGGCACCATCGACATGGAGCCAGGAAGGACCAGGATGGTCAAGAATATGTAGACTGCAACCCACGAACTGCTCCTGCCATGGTGTGATGGGCAGCATCTTCCCTGGGGAAGGAACCACCACCCCCACCATGTCGTAATGATCTCAACCCCTCCATCGCATTGCGTCTTGCGCGTCCCTCTGCCGTCACGTTGTCAGTCTGACCAGCTGCCACCCCTCATCTATTCACATATGCTAACAGCCAGCTTTGTTGTCCAATATTCCACAGCCTGCCCGAACATGCCAAGGCGACGACCTCATCCATTGGCAACATGACTGGTCATCGTGTGCTCAACCTTCTGCCGCCCTTGGCCCTTGGTGTCCCATCCCGCCATGCGTCTTGCACAGTTGCAGTCTTACGACAGATCTAGACATCGAGATACACACCCACTCGGAATCGCGCGATCGCATGGGGTCCATGGAACAAGGCCAGGCCTGGATATTGACCGTCAGATGAAACTTGCCCACATCCCACGGCCATGTTCACCACAAGTCGGCGTCAGAGTATGAGTGGCGGCGTGTGGAACGGTGTAGACACCAACATTGAGAAGCCAACATCCAGAGCATGACCTCCAATCGCCTTGCCAGCATGACTCGCGCCCACCACATGGCATGGACCATTGTGTCTCGTCATCCCACCCTCCATCATTGCAGCTCATCACTGCGCGCAAGCTTGCTGCAGCCATTCAGCCCACTCGCTGGTGGACAGCAGATCCTCGGCCTCCGGATCATTGCCAGTCGCAGCCAGAAAGGGCGGTCATGCGTGCAGCATTATTCTGTAGGCCTGCGCCCCACTC